TTGTGTTGATCAAGTTTTCCCGTCGCAGACAGGAACAAACTGCTTAGTAATAACAGGGTTGTTTGGCAACTATTTTAGTTACCTCAAAGATAAGGGCTTTTATTTTTAAAACTATCATTAATGACTTACTTATCCTTCAGTGATTCTTGATCAGATGTGTTTTATTTGGGGATAAAACCTGCACAAGGGTTGACTTAGATTCATCTCCATCAGACATGCATCAATAGCATAATGCACGATACAATCATTGGGAGAATGACTCCAGTTCTAAAGGACAAAACCTATAGGATGATGAAAAATATAAAAGGGGCATAAATATTGATATTAACTCTTGTCTTACACATTTTGGCTTCAATTTTTTCTTTCAACATTAAAACTTAGGATCAGAGGATTTACTATAGGTGTTATTTTATGTGCGCTTAACTTTGTATTTTGTTTTGATGACGGTAAATATGGAAATAAGTACTTGATTAACTTAATGGCTGTTGTGGGATTCATAATAATCAAACTTAGCTCTGAAATTCGTGTTTTTTAGAGTCACTTAAAACGACTTACCTACTACTTCTTTAGGGTTGTGATTATTACGACCCATTTATGTTTGCTAGTGTGTGTGTGTGTGTGTGTGTGTGTATATATATATATATATATATAAAGAAAAACAAAAATATATAAATGTAAGGGTAAAATGGTATTTTTAAATGGATTAAGGATGTTCAGTGCAATTTCTTTAAACCACAAGGATGCCTGTTGCCAAATTTTCAAACGTTGTATTGAAATTGCGAATTTGACCATAGGGACCAAACTATAATTTGCTCTCTCTCTCTCTCTCTCTATATATATATATATATATATATATATATATATATATATATATATATATATATATATATATATATATATATATATATATATATATATATATATATATATATAGAGAGAGAGAGAGAGAGAAAAAAAGTTAGGTTCGTATATATCCTTTAACTATTGTGTGAATGTATGACACATTCTCCACCAATCATTTGATATGGATAATTTAATAATTTTATTAGTTATATTAGTTATTATTTATTATTAATATATATAACCTTCCTAGAATTATGGTAAGTAAGTTGTGATGGCCTAAAATTATGTTTTCCTTTAGCTTAACAACGGCAAACCTTTCTATCATTTTTCACCATTTTCACCGCCATTTGTTTCCTTAGTCACGTGTGACGATTAGTGCATCCAATCATTTGATATGGATAATTTAATAACTTTATTAGTTATACGTAATGGAGAATAATTGGCAAATTTTATACTTTCAAAATTATTTAAGAATATCTACTTTTCGTGTTTAAGAATATTATTCTTCAAGAATAACTGAAGTACTATTCTTTGAGAATGCATTGTAATGTATTATTGTTTTGTTTTTCAGTTTTGTTGTTTTTCACAACCGATTCATTATTCTTATAGTATGCATATAATGTTTTGGTCTTTCAAAATAAGAAATGAACATGTCTAGTTGCATATTGGTTTATTTTTCTCTTGAAAATAATAATTTAATGGTTCATATACTTTTATCAATTAGTGCATTCTTAAATGCTCAACTTTCATTCTTGAAGAATTAACTTTGATTCCTAAAGAATGAATTCTAATTGTTCAAGAATATCTAACCACCATTACATTCTTAACTATTCTCAGGCAACTAGGATGAATCATTACGGAATAAAAATTATTCTCCATCATTCTAAAAAATGTTTATTTAACCGGAAAATCAATTAATAATCATTATCAAAAAGTTGATATTTAAATTTTTTTAACAATACTTCTAACAACCATTGATTTGAAATTTTGAGAAATCAATACGTTTAAATATTATGATCGTCTTGTATCACATTTATTTTTCAAAATGTTTATTTGAATATTTAATTGTTTTACTTTTTTTATTATCTAATTTGGCTTATTTTCTTAGAATATAGTTAATTTTATTTCTCTTTCTTAATAAGTTACACATTTACTTTTATAATTAATTAAGTAGAATTATATAATAAACGCTAGTCCATCTTAGTAAAATATATTCTAACATCACCTTCATTCATTCTTTTTATTCTAATGGTCAGAATTCCATCACACATTTACACAATAGTTAGGATTCACATTTGATCTTAAGTGTGTGTATATATATATATATATATATATATATATATATATATATATATATATATATATATATATATATATATATATAATATATATATATATGGGAAAAGTGAATATGTGGCTATCATGTATGTAATATTAGGTATAGAACCATCAAAATAGACTTCATTTTGATTATAAAACTCATTTTTTTTTCATTTTTAGCTTCTTCCTATTGCCTTTGATGTCATATTATTTTTAATTTCATAATTTATCCCCAACATCTATACATTCCGAATATGTTGCTTATATTAGACCTGTAGTAGGCTTCATAATTTTTCTTTAACACCTACCATATGTAAATTTACATGGTTCTTTTTGATGTGTTATGAGAATTAGTATAATGAGTTTTTAATAAACAATTACAATCTTTTACTATAGTTTTCTATATTAAATTTTGATATGAAGACGTATAGGTATAGTTGATAATGTAATCTTATACATGGTTTTGGTGCAAAATTAAATATTTAAAACTCTATAAAAATATGCACTAAGCGTCTCATCTAGTCTTATATAGGATACAAAAAAGATGGTAGAGAGATTTGATTGCATTTTGTTAAAACTATATAGTTTTTTATGGTTCTATATCTAATATTAGATACATAACAGCCACATATTCCCTAAGCCCTATATATATATATATATATATATATATATATATATATATATATATATATATATATATATATCAAATAAAAAGAAATTTTTTGATAGGAAGAAAAGAAATTTTTTTATATACATATTTTTTTAGCAAACAAATAAAATGAATTATTAGATGATTTAAAAGTAAATGATTCATAAAAAAATTCTCAAAAAAACATCTATATGATTCATTTTTAAATAAATTAACAAAAAAAAAATTATAACAATTTTAGTGAATATTAATAAAATCACAGAAAAATGAATCATTGAGATGTTTTTTCGTGATTTTTTTGAATCGTGTTATTTTGTATACATCTAATAGTTCATTTGTTTTGTTTTCCAAAAAAAATATACAAAAAAAAACTTTTTACCTACTACCAAAATAAATTTTTTATCATATTGTTGGTCTGCTTATGAAAATACTTTGTCCCACTCCCACTATTATCCAAAATTTTCTTTATCTCTCTTGTGTTCCACATCGCCCTATGTTCTATCGCCACATTAAAAAAAAACAAAGGAGAGGGAGATCACTATACAAAGGATGCTTGACACATTGTTGGAAAGAACACACAAAGCCTTTTAAGTTATATATGTTCTTCATACTTGGTTTAAACTAAGTTAAAATTGTTTTTAACCAATAATATTTTCTTTCTTTAACTGTTTTTACAATATTGGTTGGCTATCGAAATTGTGTTTGTGGTTAGAGCTGTTCACTATTTGGATAAAACCGAATTAACCAATTGGACAATTCAGATTGGACTATTTGGTTCGGATATTCGGATTTTTGGATTGGTTTTCAACAAAACCGAATTATTATTTTGGATTTCGGATTGGTTTTGGTTTATAAAATAAGAACCGAATAGTCCAAAAAAACCAAATAACAATTTTTTATGTATTTATTTTCAATACATCCATAATTATTTATTAATCTTATAATTTTTTTAAATAAGTTCAAAAAGTTTTACCTAATAAAAAACATTAATATGTACTTTCTCTAAAAAAATTATCTATTAAATAATAAACTATAATATGCATTCTTAGTGGTTGTTTATAAATTTTAAACCACAAGTAAATACTTTGTTTTTTCTTTTTCTATAAAATTAGATCATATTATAATTCTATGTCCTTTTAAAATGTTATGGTTTTTGAAAACCGAATTATAAAAACCGATTCAACCGAATTGTATATGGATCGGATCGGATCGGATTTGATTTAGTTTGAACTATTCGGATTCATATTTTGAAAACCGAAATCAATTCAGATTTTACTTAACCTGCTCCATTGCCATTTCTAACTTGATGAGGGGATAACATATATTTAACAGAACAACAGGATATGCGAGTTCACTTCTGGTCAAATCAATGGTTATTGTGCACTCCACTTGATTTCCGTCATTACATGTAACGAAGTAAATCAGTAAAATGGCAAACATAAGTTACCATCAATAAGTAAATGAGTAAAATGTTAAACAGAAGTTACCATCAATTCGATCTGGACATGCAAGGCTTTAATGATCGTGTGAAGCAACCATAATTTTGATGGCCTGCTGCTTAAGGAATTCTCCTCATCGCTAATTGTACGCATGTTTAATTAAATCAAGAGCCCTGCTAGTGGTTACGGCTATTGAATTTAGCTGAAATATAGGTATTCAATCTTGGATTCTTGTTGAAATTGATGGCCAATAGTGTACATACATTGTGGTGCCAATTGAAATCATTGTTTGGTAACAGTAGAATACAACAAAACAAATGATTTTTGGATGAATTACAACTGGTGGAGTCGCATGCAGATGAATATATTGCATGTGTCATGGGTTTGTGGGAAGCCATGACATAAACATGGGCACATGCATGCCCAGTTGGTATAAAATACCAGGGAAGTGCACCGTCATATGGGGTGGTAAATGTAAATCAAGTCGTTGGCCTGTGAAGGATTTATTTATTTGATTAAAGCGGATTTCTAGGCTCTCATGCATCCTATACGAAAAATATTGCATTGAAGATAAGAATGTTAAGAGTCAATATACTTTTTGTCTTCCCATTCCCAGCCACAAGCCTCCGGTTGAAATTGCCTTCCGAAACCAAAAATGTCACAATTTTATGTCTCGTCTTATAGAATCAAACAGAACCATTATTATTACAAATATTAAATTATATTACAATATATTACAATTGTTAATCTTACAACAATTTTAATATTTTTGAAGTACATCTTGAAATGAAAGGGATCCTAAACGGAAAACAACGATGGTTAGAATTAGACTTTTCATTGTAAAGATGATTGTTGGACCGAAAGAGGTAGCTTGAACCATATGTCGAGTGAATTACGTCTTTTAAGAGACGATATTGCAGTGCAGCGAAGAGAAGGACTGGCGTGGTAGCAATCACTGTGACAAGGATTGGTATCCATTTAAGATGTTCGCGGTATAGCACAAAGAAGGTAACACTAAAAGCAATCATCATGGTTGTTATTGAGAGGTAAAGTGTTGCTAGACCCAACATCAGTTTTCTAGGTAATGATTCCAAGAAATCGTCTTCCGCATAACGAGAAGTGAGAATGGATAAGAATGTGAGTATTGAAGCTGATGATGAGAACAAAGATATGGCATCTGCCACCACGAAAATCAAAAAGCTTACGTTTCTGCGGAAGAAAGGGATACCGTTGGTCTCATCGTATCCACCTGGAACTGTAAAAGCTGCAGCAAAGACAATGGTGGCAATAAGCGCCGCTACCACCATACATTGACTAGCTGTTCCTTTCATCCATTCCTCACCTTTTACAACTAGATCTTGGTGCTCCTTGGTGAATATCTCGCGTGGTGTTAGTCCATCTTTGTTCTTCCGTTCCCGATAAGAAGGTAGGACCATCTTCTCTACTTCCTACAAAATATATAGAATTATAAATCGAGTAGATCAATTTGATTGAGGTGCCAAAATATTCATGCCAATCGCAAAGAACACATGTTTATGGCTGATTGTTCTCTTAAAAACGTACGTTGGATATAGAAAAGAAAAATAGTTTACTCACATGAAGCCCATGGCACCACCGTAATATAAAAACGAATAAAAGTAAATAATGAATTTATTATCATAAAAGGTGAGAAATTTTATAGCCCCCAAAGTCATACATATATCCGCCATGCATGAGAACAAGTGATTGAAAACAAAACATCAGTCGGTTGTATCTTAAATTCCTTCCTACAAATGCCTCTAGTTAACTTACTTTATGTCAAAGAAAGATAGCCTATAAGTGTGGGGAGGAAATGAGCTAGGAATATGTACCTTGAACCATAGTAGTTCACGTTGCATCTGAAACGCACCTCCTGACACATCTTCAAGTCGCTTTCTCTCCACACTCCTTGCAACCAAATGCAACATATTGTCCTCGTTTTGATCTTTGAGAGGAATAATCATATCCTTATTTAAGCCTATCTCATGCAATAGGTTGTAGATATCCGCTTGACGATGTCTGGCAGCAACATGGAATATACTTTGATTGTTATCATTTACTTTCCACGCTAGATCAGGATATAGACGCATGAGCTCAACTACGAATCTCGTATTGCCCACCTCTGTGGCAACAAATAGTACTCTAGAAGAGTACTTTTTACGTACATTTCCCGCTAGACCTTCAAGATTTCTTGCAACTGGTCCTTTGATTATGTTACGTATTTCAATAGGTATCTTGACAATATTATCAGACATGTGTTTTAGTAGTTGCAGAGCTTCATCTATCTTGTCAAAAGCTGGCTTTTCATATCGTTTAACGGGAGGATCAGGGGGTCCCCTGAGTATGGTATCAATTTCTTCCCTAGGCTTCTCAGCAATATAACACCAAACGGTTTTTAGTATCTCCAAAGCTTTTGCTTTACTTTCCTTTTCACGAGCTTGCGTCTTCCGACATATGACTGTAAAAATTCAATGCAACAAGCAGAAATGAAGGCAAAATGAGGATATATGCCAGATATTTAATAAGTAAAAATTGATGGATGATAATAATAAGAGATGGAAGATGTATAATCAAGATCAAGGGGTAGAGATGTTTACCCCATTTTATGGTTCTCATGAAGATATTAGATTTTATTTCAGCAAATGCATCAGTCTTTCGAGCCAAAGCTGCAAGTACAATCCCACTGCTACTAAGTTCTTCATGCTCTCGCACTATGTCTAGTGCGATATCTAAAAGAGATTTAACAGTCATTATGTTGGGGAATTGGTATGGCCAAAGCAACAATAATCATCAAAACAAGAACGATGTCTACCAACTAATATTGGTTGGTATAATTCCTAATAAGGGTTTTTTAGGCATAAGGGTATGTTTCTAAACTTTGCATATTTCCTAGTAATTCTGTTTTAGCAGGACTCCTTTTTCCATTAAGTATAACTAGGGTAATTCGTTTGATGTTTTAAGTTACTTTTTAGTTTCAATTTGTCAATAAAACCTTGGATACCAAGTAATTTATTTTCCTTCCCATGTCCTCCTTTTTTCCCGTGTTCTTCCCATGTTGCTTTTTGTTCTTCATGCCACACACCTAAACCTTGTGCACCAAGGTAATTTGCAGGTTGATTTGATGTCATTTGGTATCAATGCTAAACATGTTTATAGAATAAATAGTACAACCTCGACATGGAAGGCCAAAAGAAAGAACCATGATTGTTCCATTACACAATGTTAGCAAGAAGTAATTATGCCGCTTGGGACATCAAGATGAGGGATTTTATGCTGGCTTAAGATATGTGAAAACAAACAAGCGATTAAGCAAAGAACCCTCGGAATGCCATGAGTGTCAACAGGGATAAGATGGCAATGGATGTTATTTACCTGACTATCCTGAAGATATTTTGTTGTCGTTGACAGATAAGCAGACAACAAAAGAAGCTTGGGACACATTCCAAGTCATATACATGGGTATTGGTCCTGTAAGGATGAGTTTGAGATCTTGAAGATGAAGGAAATTAAAAGAGACAAGATGAGTTCTCTACAAAGTTCAACAACATAGTAAGTAGCATTTGAACCTTGGGAGACATGATGGAAGAGGCTTACATTGTCATGAAATACTAGGGGCAGTGCTGTCTATATTCTTACATATTTGCTTTAACCATTGAACGGTTTGTAGATCTAGATGTAGGATTAATGTGCCTAAGTTCATAACAAAATTGATATATTCATTTAGTTAAAAGCAAAGTCATTTTTGGATTGCCTTAGGAACCATAAATAGCTAAGAAATAACATTAGGAGAGAAAAAAAATGATTTGTTAGTATATTATATCATTAACATATTAATTAGAAATAGATAATTGATTTGTTAATTTATTATGTAATTAATAAATTAATATGAGATCAATAGTTAAACAATTAATTTGTTAATTTATATAATTGATAAATTAATACGAAATCAATAAAAATTAATTAATTCTTAATCAAAATTAATTTATAATTAATTCGGAATTAATTGAAATTAATTAAAGGTGCAAGAGATAGATTGTAATTGTTCAACATTTGAACAAAATAAGCAATTCTAGAACCATCCATGGTACCAACAGTTTTGGAGGAGGTTTTAGGATTTCTAGAAGCCTCTTGGTTGCAGATAATTTTTTTTGAACTAAGATTAAATATAATATATTATTAATTAAAATTTGGATTAATCTCCAAGTTACCTAAATTATAAATATGACTCTTTCCTTGCAAATTTCGGGCATAACATTCCTACGAGGCATATAAGCAAATTTTCTTCATTGTTCTCTCTCTCTTCTTCGTTATTGAGCTTCTAAGGTTTTGGGTGTGAACTATAGAGACACCATACTTTTGGTGCTTCTATAACACTCGTTATTTGAGGTGATGGTAATTATTCAATTTATTTGTAATTAATTGTTGGACTATGAGATTAAGGTTGAATTATTGAGTTGGGCCCTTAGTGAGTGGGCTGTTATATATTTGGGTTGTCTGAAGACGTGTGTTGGGCGTAAGCTTGGCGTACGTGGGGGGTAGTGGCAGCATTGGATGCAGGGGGTTGATACGCATATGTGCAAGTACCAATGAGTATGCACAACATACAAGAGAAGACTCAAAACACTAATTTTTAGGGTTTACATCATATAAATACTCAATATGTCTGAAACCCTAGCTTCCTTACTAGCCTTTCAAACTCAGAAACCCTAGAAAGCCTAACATTCCTCATCTTTGTGTGATTTGATCGTGTGAAGCCCATTTTGGTAGTTTGGAGCATGGAAAGAGAAATAAGAAGTTGGTGAGAAGAACTTGTGTAGCTTGAGCTCAAGGATCTGAGATATCATCATCATCTAGTACTCATTTGAGGTAAAAAGCTCACAACTTGCCTCATGTATGCTTAGATCTACGATAATGGTGTTTTGGACGTTTTTGGTCCCAAGATTGGATTTTTATGGTCCAAAGTTGTTTCTAGGCTTAGGGTTGCCAACCTTAGTGCTATATAAGCCCCAAGAATAGAAGAGTTTCCATCTTGAAGGTCTTATTATGGCCATGCATGAGTTTTAGTCATTTCCATGGAAGTTAGTTTCCATATTTCATGTTTGGGTCCATTTGGTGGTTTGCAAGCCACCAAGCAATCGGCTTTATGAGTTAAGACACTTTATTGGACTCAGATTTGTATTTGGAGCTTAAGGTCTTAAGGGAGGAAGCCTTTTTGGAGTTTATGGATTAACAGGTTAGTACATTGGGCATACAAGCCCGTACGCACAATATACATGCCATGCAAGTTGTACGCTCAGCGTATAAAGGAATACGCCCCGCGTACTCACTGGATATGGGTTTTCATCATTTGGTCCTTGGTTTGGGCAGATCCTTGGACTTCTTAGCTATTGAGCCTTAGTAGGCCATAAGAAGTCAGTTATTGGGCTAAGGACTTGTTTGGGCTTAAGGGAAGGCCCATTTGAGGAGTTGGACCTAATTTAAAACATTGGGCTATAAGTGGGCTTGTAAAGGATTTATAGAATTGGACCATTGATGTTATGGATTTGGGCCTAAGTCATAGACTGGTTTAGATCGGGGGTAAAATGGTTATTTTACCCTAAGAAGGATTATTGGATTTTGACTGAGTGATATTTTGGTAATAATAGCTCGGGAGTCGGCAGATCAGCTGTTAGAGATTTCTTACCACGATATTTAACATTCAGGTGAGTTACCTTCCCGGTATAAATGTGTCGAAGGCACCAATGCCCGCCCATTAGTAGTTGTTTACAGTAGAGACGATTGTCTTTGTGATGATTGTCTGGTATGCTACTATTTATTGAGATGTATGTGTTTATATCTTATGCTATTATGTGGTAGTGGTAGGGGTGAAATAGACCCCGTATCCAGTCGAAAAGACCAAAGGGGTAGGCCAACACCCAGATATGCTAGACAGTATGTGATTTATGTGTTTATATGTTAAGATATTATGTGGCAATGGTAGGGGTGAAATAGTCCCCGTGACCGGTTGAAATAGATCGAAGGGGTAGGCCAACACCCAAATATGTTAGGCGGTTACCGGTTGAAAGTGACCGAAGGGTAGGCCATCACCCAGATATAGTAGGTGGTTACCGGTTAAAGGATACCGAAGTGCACCCAGATATGTTTGTCAGTATGTTTATTGTATGGTATGTAGTATGATGGGGGAACTCACTAAGGTACCTCTTTTTTAAAAGAAAAGGAGTCGACATGATCGCAAAACATCACACCATGATTTCTGCACATGAGATGTTTGGGGGTTATACTCTAATGTTGTTTTATTATGACATATTTTGATTATTGACATATTGGTTTTGATATGGGATGACTCTATGAATGTTTTTTGTTTATTGGTTTTATAATTATTTAATTAAAAATGAAATTCTTGGTATTGAATTTTGGGATGTTAACGCTTGCTTTTTGAAAACTAAAAGGAAAGGTTTCGAATAATTGTTTGCTATAAATATTCCAAAGGTATGTAACCATAATCTCATGAATTTTGATTATGATCTAGGGTTCTTATACTAGTTCATTGTATGTTGCTATTAATTGTAAAGACATAACATAGATCCTTAGGTTGCATGTACCATTAAGTAATTCCGCAAGTACATTGAAGTTGTAACCTTAAAATTCCATTACTAGACACCATGACAATTGAAGAAGTCGTTAGGAGATTGATAGCTCATGAGGAAAGAATTCGAGGACAAGGTGAGGTTGAAGAAAATAAGCTGCTTCTTACCATCAAGAGTGGTCAGAAAGATGTAAGAAGCAAAACGAAGAGCAATCAAGCTACTCTCAAAAGAACTACAGTGGGAACACCAACAACTCACAAGGCCGAAGGGAAAGGCACTACTAAATTTCAATGCAAGAATGATGAACATCGGGTACTTTGTGAAGTATACTACATATTGAGACTGTGAAGCATAAAATTATTTTGAACCAAGCATAGACTGAACATTTAGTTGGAATGACGTCTGACCCAAATGAGGGATTTGTTGGGAGTAAAGAAAGTGATAAATTCTGAATTAGGGGAAATGTTGGTATAATTCACGGTAAGGGCTTTTTAGGCATAAGGGTATTTTTGGGAAGTTTCCATATTTCCCGGTAATTGTTTTGAAGTAGGTCTCCTTTCTATTAGTATAAGTGTTTTAAAGGGTTAGTATCTGTTGCTCGTTACCCAAAGCCTATGTAAAACTTTATCATGTTGATTACTTATCTGAACATGAAGATGAGTAATAACAAAATTAAAACTAAAAAAAAACACTAAGTTTTTAGTTTCAATTCCTCACTAAAAACCTTGCATACCAAGTAATTTGTTTTCCTTCCCTTGTTTTGTCCCTGTTTCTTTGTTCATCCCCTCACACGCTTAAACCTTGTTCACCAAGGTAATTTGGAGGTTGATTGATTAAAAGTTGACCAGTTATCCAAATTGTTACAATTTACTAATTAAACAACAAACAAAATATGTAGGTGTAATAATTCCATGCTAGAATTCTTACCGAACATATCATTCTCAACACATTTCTGAAGAAGCCAACCACGGTTCTGAGGTGTCCAATAATCATCACGCAGCTTTTGGGAATTTTTGTACAGATACTTCACCACCTCAGAATGTCCAAACAAGGCAGCCATATATAGTGGCGTCATTCCTCCACTACCAGTGATTGCCACCAAGGCCCTGCACTTTTTAACCATAAGCTCAACCATTTTAACATTGCCAACTGCAGCAGCTAAACAGAGGGCAGTGTTGGAACTGTTATTTTTAAGTTCGAGGTCCTCTTTTTCCATCTTAGTCATTAGATTTTCCACGAACTGTTCAACCTGTTTGGTGCTTTTTGTGGATGCCGCGACATGAAGTGCTGTTTCATTATTTCCAGTGACACTATACCTTACCAACTCTGGCCTTTCATCAAGAATCTCTTTAGCAGCTTTCCAATCACCTCTAATAGATGCTTCATATAGAGGGATAGCAATTTTCATGTTCTCTTTACTAGTTCCTTTAAAATAATTCCAATGCAAAGTTAGCACAAATTCATCCAGGGACAATATTTGTAATATTCTTTAACTTTTCGCCATGAATAAGCATCAATTCTAGTGCATACAGCCACTTTGAATACTTCAATTTGGTTTAATTAACACACTGAAATCGAGCGTTTTATGTGTTGGTGTCTTTGAATATTAAAAGTAACATATTATATATGACAACTGAAAATCATGCAATTCCATGTAGACTTTCTAGGAAACAGTAACGCGTTTCATGTGGAATTTCTACAAAACGAAGCACTTTTCAAACAAGTCGAATGTAATATAACTTACTCTTGTAGTTAAGTTTACCGAAGGAGACTAGTGGAAACAGAAACGGAAAGGTAGCCAGGTAGGTATAAAGTATAAACACTTATTTCGTCCATCCGCAAGAATGGAGCACTAGTGCAAAGGAATCGTCTTTTTTGTATTAAATGTGGTGTAAAATAACAGTACATGAAGTAAAGAGTAAAATGGGTAGTAGAATTTACCATTAAGTAGATCTGGAATAGGTTTTGGGCGACCTTGAGAAGCAACCGAAATTCTGATTTCCTGCTGCTGCTCATGGGTTAAGGACTTATGCTCATCGATTGGGGCTAACTGTACACTTGTTTGCGCCATCTGCACAGGGACATCATTGATGATTATAACTCTAATAATTGCTTGACGCCATGACTAGAAAATCAAAGGATTTGGTGCAACTGACAATACCTCTGCGTCGGCAAGCGATTATTACGTATGAATGAATGAATTTTTAAAAAGACATGAGATTGATTATTTGAACATGCATGCTATGATTTATATACACCTAACACCCTCCCTTGCTTAAGTCAACGTCGTAAGTCTTTAAAAGTTCAATTTTTCTGCCAATCAATAAATTATAATTAGCGACAACTTGCGGTTGTTCAAAAAAATAAAATAATAACGACAACTGTTAATAGTCAAAAAAATATATATATACAAAAATGTTTTCATAATTTTATTAATAAATATAACATCTATCATCTATCAGTACCATTCACGCGAAAAATTATATAAAATAAAAAACGATAAATTTCTTACATTAAGTATAGAAAACTATATCTTGTATACACGTGTATAAAGTGAGTCAATGTTCCTGCAACCAACTATTTTAATTTTGATAAATTGGATATCAAATTATTTTTCATTTTCAAATAAAGAATTGGTAGGTATTTTTTTTTTTCAAACCGTGTACTGTATCAATTATAGTTTGTATGTAATTTTAGTTACTATTAAAATATTAAGTACAGTTAGTACCAACTTAATTGGTTATCAGTAATTTCGGTTGGTACATTTTAATAATAATATATAAAGATGTTTTGTGAATTAAGATTTATGTGTTATTGTGCACTTAAAGCATACATGTGAGTTTTATAAATAAGATTTTTGTGAATAGTAGGATTGAAAATTCAATTGAAATTTTTTTTATAATTTTGTACAATGAGTTTAAACTTAACAACGGAATAAATTGCATATTTATAGTTAAAATATGAGTTTAAGCTTTCAACATTACTAGACGGTAAATGTTAATATCAAAGCTCTTGAACTCTTAACTGTTAATACATTTAAAGTTAAAATATATAATCTTATATATATATATATATATATATATATATATATATATATATATATATATATATTGATGGGTTTTGGTCATAAGAACATCCTATGTGCTCATACAAACCCTAATGCTTGGATCTAGGTTTCTCTATTGTACATGCAAGTTATCCAAGACTATAAACCCTAATTCTAGCATTCAAGTAATCATATTAACATGAGAATAGGTTTAAGATCATACCTTGATTGTTATGTAGCAATAACAATCTCAATTCCTCCTTCTGTTGACTTTAGAAAGCTTAGAGTCACAAATGTTACTCCTCTAATGGTTTACAAACACTAAGAACAAGAGGATGAAGAGGAGAAAGGATGGAGGCTGCCCAAAACATGTGAAACCCTAGAAGGATGTTTAGCCACGTTTTTGGGTCATAAGGGATGTATATATAGTTAGGCTATTAGGGTTATCCAACAAGGAAACTCTAATTTGGATGCTTAAGCCCTAAGCAACCCATAGATTCCTTTCCTTATGGCCTTGGACGATTTCTTATGGGTTTCCCCATAGAATTCGTCCACTCCTTAATATAAGGCAATCCATGGCCCAAATTGCAATTATATTATAATTACAATTCCAGTCCCTTAAGTTTAATTAATCTCTTTTAGTCACAAAACTAATTACCAATTAACTCTTGACTAATACTAATTAAACAATATGATTTCTCCTTTAATATATTGTTCTCATAATATATTAATAAATCATATTTAATCCTTTATCTCCATAATTCATCCTATCAAGTTGCTTTGATGAAGGCAACCTAAAAGGACCATGCACCATCGGGTCAAGTACATACCAAAATAGTTATGGACTTAGACATTAATCCAACAGTCTCCCACTTGGATAAGTCTAATAACTATTATGCGTAGGACTTCAGATCCTGATCTGCAATCGTAGCTTTCCAAAGCCGCTGTCAACTCTGATCCTATCAGATACACGTGTCCTTTAGATAAGGGATCATATATTCCTCCATTCTAGATATCGTATGAGACATGATTCCAAATCATTCTCTTTGTACTATTTCTCGATTCTCGATTTATGACGACTGACTAATTGAACAAATCAAATTAGCCCTAGCCCGGCCGAGCATTTACGTTTGTCATCACTAAATCATCGAGGGGCCCAAAGATATCGCTTTTATCCTACTTTGGATAAAAGGAACGGATAAACTTTGATATAATGCTTGCTTGTACTCAGTCACCGAATCACACACAACAATATGTTTTATGACACCAAGTTACTGGTGCGTTTACATATTATCAATGTGCAACGGATTTGCAAGATACAACTCACACACTCTCGGTTTCAAGAATATAAGATGTTATCGTCTTACCAATCACTCGTGATACAATTCATGGAGTGATCCAAGTGAGCGTGGGTTTAATCCAATGCTCAAATCTTATTCATAAGCACTCATGAACGTTGCAGCAAACATTCGCTTATGTCTAATACCCTTTTAGACAATCCACACACCAATTAACGACAGTCTTCATTTCATATCTACTTCCAACATATGAACGACTGTGGCTCGTTCGAATAATTTGACTGTTCTCAACCAATTAAATTATTCAGGAAGTCAAAACATGCAAAGTGAAACACAAGAATAAAACTAATCCCATATGGCCTCAAACCTTTGAGTATAAATAAAACACCTTTTATTTATCACCATATCGATTACTCATTATTTGTCGTTTCAGGTAATCAACTTCTTACTTGAATTATTACTACACTTGTCCCATGCTCCTAGCATTCACACAATGTTTACCTATGGTTCTTACTTTGTGAAATAGATCAAATTGAACACATTTCCAATCATTCTTATTTCACAACTCCTAATCCTTTTTCTTAAGTGTAAGAATATCAAATTCTTGCTACTTATAGAATATGTTAGATTCTAACATTTTATGCAATGATCCTTTCGTAATATCACTACACCAAAGTCACAAAGACTATTGCCAATGAAATTACAAAGTCTTTTATCGGAGATTGTTACAAGCCAACTCCTTAGATATGATGTCTCTCATTCAAAGTACATTCCTTTGAACATCCTTTTGCATAAAAGTTTCTAATCTAGACATAGATTTTCAATATTCAATTCCCAATATGGACACGCTTCCATATTTTCCATATGACAAATCATTCTTAATAGAATCTTATCTATTCGTAATAATGTCGACATGGTCCATCCAATATGGAAACATTTCCATATTTTCCATATGACAACTCATTCTTAATATAATCTTTTCTATTCATAATAATGTCGATATGGTCCATCCAATACCATGCTTCCAACTACTCACAAGCAACCAATCCTCGTCGAACTTTAGATTGTCCTTTGATAGTTGTTTAATTATTTTAGTCAAAACCGATTCTAGTCCCTTTTCCCTCTAAATGTGCTAGACATTTGGAAAATTTTAGAATGGTCAAATATTAAAGCATTTGCAATCGATCCTATACCCAAAGCGTATGGGACACGATGCATAATGTTTTATTTGCTATGTTCCCAAAATTCGAATTGTGAAGAGGAATGTCGTAATCATAATCGAAATTTTAAGAACACACTATGTACCTTTGACTAAATTTATCAACATTTCTCAACCTAAGCCTTTAGATTTGAAATGAAGCATAATATTCTCTCCCTTAATTATAGCAAAACAACTTTACAACCCTTACGACTTTATAAGGGATAACTCTTGTTTTCTATAATTAATATTGCTAACTTGCAATACTTTCCATAATAATCATACAATCATAATATTTATGCTCCCACTGTCATGATGATTATTATAAACATAACACTTATACTCCCACTAGTTTCGACATGTGTTCATAAACATCTTAACTTTCAGAAAAACAATACCTATTGAATTTCTTAAGTCCATGTTTCTAATACTTAATGCTTTGATAATCTTTTATCAAGGCTTCTTGAACTTATACACCTTTGCCTTAGATAGTTCATATGTGTGTCTAAACAATTAAGACTAATTATCAAACCTCACAATTCAAATTATGGAAAGGGATACCGTAACCATAATTGAATTCGAGAATGCAATTTTACAATCACTATCTTCTTAAAATCTTTTTTAGTGAAAGCATTTCCTCACAATCATTTTCATGAAGGAGGAAATCTTATAACACTTAGATTTAAACGGTGTGTGTGTTTCTATCCATGGAATTTGTTAAAACCAAAGTTTACGACAAATTCAAACTCATATGGACCGAACTTTCTTAATCTTGCTTTCTTGCCTTATGGTAGCACAGCTGCCCACCATGTCTTCCAAGTAATTAAGCAGCTCACCCTTTCCTATCAATGTACCTTTCATTGATTAAGGTGCCTTGCCTTTTATGCGTTCAAAATGAGAACTCATAGAACTCACATGCATAATTAACTCAATTGGAACAGCACAGAAACAAAATAATGTCAACACGATAGGTTGTAAACCTCAACTCGTGTGCTAGTGATGATCGATAAGGTTTATTTTGATTTGTTTTTGAAACCTTTCAAGACCATTAAGACTCCCACTGACTCCTTGACATATAAGATTCTCTTGTCAATAAACATTTCTTGACAAACAAATTTTCAAGAGTTAGTGTAGTTTTTTATCAAAACACTTCATAAATTGGTCCTAGTTGGTCTTTGTCTTATCCAAGACATCACAACTTTCCACATTTAATGAACGTTATAAACCTTTTAATACCTGTCACTCTTTGTCACAATCTTAACTCTAAGACTTGTTTTGGAACGAAGTATGATTGACTTCTTGATTTAACCATTTCTTCAATTCTTGATTCCTCTACTTAGACATACAATTATACTAAGACTCACATAGAGGATCAATTAAGATATGGTTCTTAATCATAAAGACCTATCATAAAGCATAAAAGCTACTTTCCCTTCTTCTTAGAATGGAGAAACTTTTATCTTTCTGCCTACTTGATTCTTCTTATACGTTTTGCTATTGATTTAAACCTTTTTAATCAATTCTGAATTACACTTAATCTTATAAGTATAATCATATTTACTAAACCTTTAGTAAATCATGACGAATATCTTTGTTACTCTTATGGTGGACTTGATCAACACGCAACTTTGTGTGCTTGATCTCCTAGTCCTTCACTTGACACTTTGTCAATGAATTAGTCTAATTTTCAAATATGAAATTTCTCATTCATCATGCAACCA